ACAAATGTGCTTGAAACGTATGGTCTAGTCTTGTGCCAACCATTTTCAAATTTGTTTGACTAACCATGAGTTCCTAGGATCTTCACGTCTGTCTTGTAGTAAATTGATGCAATAGTGGAATAACTCTCGATCACCAACTTCTTTATCCCTGTACTCCATGACAGTTCAAGTCCTTTTAAAGTACCCCAAAGTTCAGCATCTAGTGGGTTGCAATAGCCAATATCATAGCTGAATCCTCCTCTAAATATGTTGTTATGATCTCTCAAAATACCTCCACAGGTTGCTTGATTCCTAATACTGGATGAAGCTCCATCTGCATTGAGCTTAAACCATCCCTCTTCTGGCGGAATCCAATTTCGTAAGGTGGGACAAAAGATGCATTTTGCAAAGTAGCATTATCCTTCATTCTGGCCTTCTTGATTTGTTCTATAAAATCTGAAATCAGAATGAAACCTCTGGAAGGTCTGCGAAAACTATCTTCATGGATTTGTTGGTTTCGCCATTTCCATAAAACCCAGCATGTAGGAAAAAATATATCTCTTCAATCAGATGCTCTATAAGAAAACCATTTCTTCATCATATTTCTTTCAAACCAGTCTTTTGTTTCCAACCTCTTGAATTCATGTGGCACTCTTCCTCTAAACCAATCATTCCAAATCTCACGGGCATACTTACAATCACGCAACCCATGGAGAATAGATTCCTCTTGGTTGGGACAACTTTGGCACACATTCGGACCATTGCTCCATTTACTGGTCTTTTCTCGAACATGTAGTTTGCCTTGTAGTGATAACCACATCATTTATTTTATACGCTCTGGCCCTTTCCAATCCCATAATTATTTATAGATTGCAGTATTCTGGGAGTTTGGGAATTGCATTATATTCCTATATGCAATTTTGACTAAAGATGATGATATGTGGTTGTTAATCCAAACCTGTCTATCAACTCCACCTTCCTCTTGTTGCATCTGCTTATTCATTACCAATTCCACCCATTCACTATTTAAAAAACTTCTAAGGTAAGAGACATTCCACATACTTAGGGAGCACAATCCACAATGGTTCTTTGCAGTTTCGCCTCTGGGACCTGGCTGTATATGAATTCTTTGAGATGTGTATCTATCTCTAGCCAGTTATCAATCCAAAGTCTGACCTCCTTCCCATCTCCAATCTCCCATCTAAGCCCAGCTAGAAATCGACCCCAACACTTCCCTAAATCTCTCCACAATTTGGAATCATAATTCTTTGTGATTATTCCACGGCGAAGGTCTTGGCCTCTTTTATACATCGCTTTTAAAATTTTCACCCACAGGTCCTCACTTCTAGTACACATCTTCCAAGCTAGTTTATGTAAGTAGGCTTCATTTTGAGCTTTGAGATTTATGATACCCATACCACCCATCTCATTTGGATTATACATGGTTTTCCACGAAACTAAATGGGCATTGTTTCCTCCCCAAATAAAAGATCACTGAATTTGTTCTATCTCATCACATAATGTTACAGGAAGTAAACCATTTTGCATATGAAAAGTCGAGATTGCTGCAATTACTGATTTCACTAATGTTACTCTCCCAGCGAAAGAAAGGTACCTGTGTTTCCATCCATCCGGCTTTTTTCTTATGCGATCCATTATTGCATCATAGTTAGCTTTTTTATCTAGGCCTTGTTTGATGAAAGATCCCAGATAACGACCATGCTGTCAGTTTTCTTAAATCCCAAAAAGGAAGTAATATTTTCAACAGTATTAGGCGAGAAGTATATAAGTGACTTGCTGGCACTTATGCTTTGACTTGAAACTTCACAAAACCAGTTAATGCAAGACATTACCTTACTAGCTTGATCCATGGATGCTTCCGCGAAAAGAAGAATGTCATCAGCAAACAAAAGATGGGACACCTTGGGGCCTCCTCTGCCTATTTTGATAGGCTTCCACTCATCTCTTTCCACCGCTTGTAATATGAGGTGGGTAAGCTTCTCAATACATAAACACGAAAATGTATAGGGAAATAGGGTCTCCTTGTCTAATCCTTCTCTCCGGAAAAATGGTCTCAGTCATGCCACCATTGATGAGCACTTTAAAGCTGTTGGTACTTATGGATGTCATTATCACTTCCACCATCCATTTTGGAATCTGTACTTCCTCTAGTACAGATTTGATGAAACTCTATCTCAACTTATCGTAGGCTTTTTCTAAGTCAAGAAATAGAATAATTGACATTACACCTTTCCTTCCTTTTATCCTGGACATTGTATGGACTACCTCCTTGGCCACTATAATACTATTATATACCTGTTGGGAACAAAACTCGCTTGATAGGGAGAGATCACTGCTTCCATGATCAATTTCAGTCTAGCTGCAATAACTTTGCTCAAACCTTTATATATAACATTACACAAAGATATGGGTCTAAGCTGAGTAACATACATAGGCTTGTCTATCTTCGGTATTAAGGCAATCAGAGTATTATTTACCTTTTTTAAAGATGCAGGATGTCTTACATACAACTGAATATCATTCCAGACTTGATCCCCTACAAGGTCCAATTTCTTTGAAAAAAAACAACTGTGGAGCCATCTTCTCCAGGAGACTTTGAACCTTTCATTGAAAAAAAATGCTTTTTTCACCTCGTCTTTATTGATTGGATTACTTAAATCGTTTAAAGCTTCCTGCTGCAGCGTTGGCCAGGATGAGTTAAACCATGGACGGCTGTTATTCTCCTCTTTAAACAAGCTCCTTAAAAAATCATTTATCAGTAGCTCCAGACCTTTTTCATCTCGAACCCGTTGCCCTCTGCATTCTTTAGTTCTACAATTCTGCTCCTTTTCCTTCTAACTATAGTTGTTGTGTGATAGTACCTTGTATTCCTGTCACCTTTCGCTGGCCAAACTGTTCTAGATTTTTCAAACCACAGTTTTGGAGTAACAGATAATATATTATTTTAAAATTTTGCACTCATAATTTTTTTTTTCTATCTACAGATTTTGTTAATATATACCTTTTTATACTGGCTAAATAAAAAAAAATAAAAAAATAATAGTAATTTATTAAAATTATTTAATATTTTTTATAAAATAAAAAATATTTTTAACTCGTACCATGAAAGCAGTTATTAATAAAATCTTTATTTATTTTCTATTCATTTTTTCATTATTAAATTTTGAATTTGTATTATTATTAAATATATTTTTCATACTGCCCATCAAATCGTCAACTGTGTCAGTGTGTGTACATACACACAAACTTTTTATCTGTATTGTGTTTTAGCGAACATATAATTTTTGGTTAACTTATGTGTATACGAGTCCACGTTAATGTGGAACTGTTCACCAAAGAAATTGCCAATGCCTGCCATGGACAGAACGTGAGTAAATGAATGGAGGGATAATCACTGTTTACAAACAAGCAATGTAGGACCCGTCTTTTTCTCCCTCCAACACCTAAACCAACCCTTTTGTTGGAAAATCAGTATGTACTTGCTTGCTAAAACTTTTACTTTTGAACTCTGTATTTATTATGTCACATGACATAAGAAAATTTTCTATACACATAATATTTTGTGAGGTTCGCAATTTTTGAAGAAAAAAAATAAAAAATTATAACACGCAAAACGAATCTCTATAACATTACACAATCACTTTTCCTACAACATAACTTTTATAAAACCCTTTATTTTTTTTGATAAACTGATTGGTATAACTTAAATTTACCTCATTTTCAGTCATGGTTAAAAAAAAATTTCATTTGATTGTCTATTTTATGAAATATCTATGGTACTACTGTTGTACCATTCACTCAGTGCATCTATCTAATAGAAAATAAAGAATGACTGTCATGCTTTATGGAAAAGAAAAAAAATATTTTTTTTATCCAAGTGTCATTTGTTAAATTGCAGATGTACTTACTATAGATACACAGAAGAAGATGATGTTATCATATTTTATATACCTTCCTAGTTTCCATCTACTCAACGAAGCACACCCTTTTGAGAGGGAGAACAAAAACCACTAATCCCCGACTTTCCCAGAGTGTAGGTGATCTTCTACAGTAAAATAATGATAATAATTACGTAGTGTTTCATTCCAGAGAAATTTTTTTTTACTAGAGAAATGTAATTGATAGAGAAATGGTTGAAAAGTGAGTTTGGTAGGAAAATGTAAAAAAAGTTGTTTGGTTGACCTAAATATTACAAGGGAAATTTATTTAAATATGCAAAATCTATGTTCGGGAGAAACTTTGCATCTGTTTTTTTACTTCCCCAGTTATCTCAAAATATCACATCTCAAGTGGTATTCTGTAACAGTGAATTTCATCTAAAAATCAACACAAAATTCATTTTCCCATCTATCCTATTTGTCTGATATTTTTTGAAAAAACCTGAACCAAACGTAATATTTTCCAATATCCACTTACACTTTTCCATCAATCTCAAAATAAACCTTCAACCAAACACTACCTTTTCCGAAGAAAAGAAAATTAAAATACAAAACCCTAAGATTCGCTAGCTAACCAACACCTTTCAGATTTCGCTGATTAACATTTTCAGATCGAATTCGACAAAATTAAAAAAAAAAAAAAAAACGAAATAAGATCACCAGATTAGATGAAAATAAATTAGGGTTTTTTCTTTTTTCTAGAGGGAAAAAAAAAACATCAGCAGAAATTGTCACTGATGAACATAAAGTGAAATTAAGCGGGCGTTTGATAGGAAAATTTTTCCACGATTTTTAAAAAATTGAATTTTTTTAAATTTTAAATTTTTAGATATTATCTAGAGCTGACAAAATGGACCGAGCCTGACGGGCTGAGTTTCTCAAACCCGCTGTCCGCCAAGCCCGTCCCGCCCACCCAAACAGGACGGGGCAGGCTAAGATATCTAGCTCATCTTCGATGGTGGGGCGGGACGCGGCGGACAGCCCGCTTTGTAACCTCTAATATTATCGTAGACTTAGAAATTATATTTTAAAAAATTGAGATTCCTGAAGAAAAAAAAAAAAAATTCTGCTGCCAAACACCCCGTAAGAGCTCTGAGACATATGCAGGGATGGTTGGGGCGAAATTAGAATAGGTGCTTAGATCAGAAAAACAAAAACTCAGCTCATTCATTTCTTCATTTTTCGATGTCTTCAACTCTTCGTCCATAGCAAACACAATATTTTCAGACCTTTTGTCCTCTTTGTATTCTGGGTTAGCACTTCTTCACCTTCATCCTTAATGCTTCTCCTATGTTTCTCCTTCTTTTGAGACACCAGGTACCTTCCTCTTTAACTCTCTCTATCTTTCAATTTTTCGCTATTCAAACATTTCGCTTATGATTGGTTCAATATTTTTTTTTCACTTTGGTGTTGTGATTGTTGTACTTAAATGTGATTGCTTATCGTCAATGAGTTTTTGATTCATGTCTTATGTTTTCAGTTTGAAGATTTTGTTTTTGAATATATTGCTTTCTTCGTTTGCCTTCGTTTCACGATGTTGTGGGGTAAGGAAACCAAAGAAGAAGAAGAGAATTTAGGGCTTCGATAATTTTCCGAATATACACTAGTTATGTAATGTCAGGTATCACTGCCTTGTATTCATTTTTATTATTAGCGATTTTATTTAGTAACTTCGAAGCATATATTGTAATTTTATTTATAGTTGGTCTCTCACAAATATTAAAAGATAATGTAACTCCTGTAATGAACCTGACATATTGTAAATAAATTTCAAACACAACAAGAACTTGATGAAATATGTATCTAGATATGTACGATCTTACAATATAATTTATGTTTCTTAAGCAAATATACATGATTGTATATTCATTGCAGAAAAGTCTTGGCTTAGATCCAAATGATCCAATCATTCTGTTTGTTGTTTTTTTGGGGCTCTTCAGCTACGTTATGGTATGAATTTCTCTTTACTCAAAAGTAAATTTTGCTATCTGTAATAGATGTCAGAGATATGCAGGGCTGTTTATTGGCTATGGACATATGGAGGTTACTCAGGAGATCTAACCCCTAAATCAGCTTTGGAGCTTTAGCTGGGGACTCAAATGCTGCACTTATAGATGTTCGCAGTGAGGCAAGTTATGATTAATTTTTCTGGCTTTTTTATTCAAATATAGAGAAATAACTATGTAATCTATGAATGTAGTAAAGTCAAGTTATCCTTGTGTTTCAGTGTCCATTCTATCTTTGCTTCAACACTTCTTCCAAACTCAAACTATGGTATCCTAATTAAGGAAAAATTTCTATTTTTTTTGGCTAACTATTTTGACATCAAAATTGACCAAAGAAGTTGCTGCTTCTTTCCTTTCTGCAGGATTTACGAGAAAAAGATGGTATACCTGATCTTTGATGGTCTGCTCGGTTTCAATATGTGTCTGTAACTCCACTTGAGGTTGGTTGAAAGCATGATAATGTTTAATGTGACTGGGATAATTGTGGTATGACCTTAACTTTGTTAAATGGAACAAGTCCAGAATCTTGGTCGCTTGTTAGGTGGATACCAATTAATCTATAATCCGTCTACTACTAAAATAACATATTATGCAATTTCCAGGTTGATGGCTCAATACGCAAGTTGTTGAAGAGTGTTAGAGACCTCGATGGCTCCTTGATCGCTGCTATCATTCGAAATTTGAAGATTGTTAAGGTATTTAGCTTGGTATCTCGAAACAGGGTCTAGTGTTCTGAATAAAGTTACTTGAAAGTGCATGGAATAACCCCAGAAACTCTTTGCTAAGCAGTAATTTATATGTACCCTTCTTTCCTTTTTTCCCTCTATTTCAATATTATGACGTGAAACTATTGAACCTCAAGAGAGATATCAATGACCAAATGCTAAAGTTATTTGGTATTTATAAAATAAGCTTAGTCTTTTGGCAATTTCATCATTTTAATTTTTTCAAGGACATTAAACGTGGTTTTAAAAGTGCCTATATATGTTGTATCCTGCACGGTAGGTAACAGTCTGTGGTAAGAGATGGTAATTTATATTCAATGACTTGAAGTTTGTGTATCAATTCTTTTTATATGTGATTAGAGGGATTGGCATGAGAAATGATGTCTCAGAATCCTTTAACTGAAGCTCTAATTCCTTTAAACATCACGCATGAGTGACTCAATGTCTAGGATGGTGTTTTTTTTTTTTGCAAACCTAATGGCTCCCATCACTTCAGATAATTTTTTTATGCTCTTGTGGAGACAATTTATTGCCAGTTAGCTAAAAGAATGGCAGTATCTGTTGATTATTGCCAGTTAGCTAAAAGAATATACCTTATTATTATTAGTATAAATCTACGTTTTCATCCTCCTGTGATTCATATTTCCTGGTTAAACTGTAATTTTCACAGGTTATCTCTGGGAAATTGTGTGCTGGACCTGAAGTAGATGTCCGGAGCTGTGGTCTGTGGAGTGATTTTATACGCTCTTCTCTGTGACACTCTTCCTTTTGATGATGAAAACATTCCCAAACTCTTCAAGAAAATCAAGGTATTATAGTATTGAGAGAAAGAATGAAGGACGGAGAAAGCAAAGAATTCTCCACAGAAGAGGCTGATCTTCTTGAGAGGAGTATTCGTAGATCTAAAGAACAAGAAGGAAGGAGTGTTGTTTCTTATAAAGATTCTCTGTTGCATTTAAATGGAGGGTCAAGTGAAGAGAAGGAGACAGAGGTTCTTGAGAACCTAGGATTTGAGGAGGATGAAGAATCCCAGTTCATGGAAGAGTGCAACCAATCTGTTGATGATCCCTTCTGCCCCTCATATCGTTTTGAAAAGGAGATTCACAAAGAAAGCTGCAAACCTTGGAGGATTGCAGTTATTGTGAAACTTTTAGGAAAGCGTGTGGGGGTGAAGTTTTTTCAAAATAGGTTGTTGAAGATGTGGAATTTAAGCGGCTCTTATGAGTTCATTGATATGGAGAATGATTATTTTTTATTTCGGTTTGACAAGATTGAGGACTACAATTTTGTTTTGCAATAGGGTCCTTGGATTGTAGCTGATCATTATGTAATGGTTCAACGTTGGCGTCCCTTCTTTAACCCTCATGATGATGATTTCAAGAAGCTGGCTGTATGGCTACGTATTCCAGGTCTCCCAATTGAATTCTATACGTCTAAGCACCTATGTAACATAGGTAATCTTTTCGGGAGAACACTCAAGATTGATAGGAATTCAATTCGGAAAGATATCATAGGAGATAAGGAGTTCACAGATCGAGCAAAATTTGCCCGTATTTGTGTGGAAGTTGATCTTCGAAAAGGATTCCTGTCTAAATTCAAAATAGGCAACCGTGTTTTTCCAGTGGGCTATGAAGGTTTGCACCTTGTTTGCTTTGCTTGTGGTAGGTATGGTCACCGCCGTGATTCATGTCCTACCCTTGCTTCTGCTTCGACTAGTACTATTAATCAAAGTACTCAGATTCATACAACAATGGCAAACACCACAGTTCAGCATAAGGTGGCGATGGAAGGGGAGGCTTTTGGTTCTTGGATGCTTGTCCAGCGTAACCAGCGAGGAAGAAAGAAGGTCGTGAATTCAGCTATGGATGCTGCAATCAAGGAGAAGGCTCATGAAGTGCATTCAATTCCGAGCAAAAAATCCGCACCTGGTGTAATTGCCAATAATGGGGGGGAAAATCTGGTGTTGTCATGCAAGTTAATGCCAATTTAGGAGGAGTGAATACAGGTGCTGTTAAGAGGGAGATTTTATCAAAAAAAGGGTCCCTAATTATGGCCAGCCAATTGGCTCACGTTTCACAATCATTGCTGACGTTAACAAAGTTTCAAAAGATGATAACGTTGCAAGGATGTCTAATCATCAGGATTTTAATGCAATTAATTTGCAGAAATCAAGCAACATTCGTGATTTGAATCAGTTAACCATCATGGATACGTCAGCGCAAAATATTCCTCAGCCAGCTAAGCATATGGGTGATCTAATTAATAGTCTGACTAAGCCTTCGATTGGGGCCCAGGAAAAAAAGAACCAAGAAGATCAACTCCTGCAGAATGGGAGCGTTAAAGTTTCTAGAAAAAATAAACAACAGATACCGAAGAAGACTGGGGCGGTGAAGGAATCTTTTGTTCTAAAGAAAAAACAAACGGGTCTTGCAGTATCTTCTAAGTCTTTCAAGCTTCCCTCTAAACCTCAATCTTTATCGAGGGAATCTAAGGAGAGAATTTTTTTGAGTTTGACTAAAGGTGATACAAACATGTTTCTCAATGATATAGCTCGTAACGTGAATCCTTCTCCAAGCTCGAATCTGGCTCTTAGTTCCATTTCCGGGAAACATGAGAATGGTCAGCTTCTTGAGAGGGGCCAGCAAAATGGAAAAATCTTAATACCGGACGAAGAGTTTAAGGAGACTAATGAACCCCCTGATGCTTTGGTTAAATCGGTGTTAGGCAATCAGGCTCACAACAATTTGGTGGATTCGGATGGTGCTTCCATTTCGGGAGATTTAAGTGTGCAAACTGTTCCTCAATAATTGGTGTTCATACCATTCTTTCTTCTTCTCTGTATTTGTTTTTTATGAATATTGTTTCATGGAATTGTAGAGGGGCTGGAAAAAAGGGATTTTCCCCCCTAATAAAAGACCTCACAAGAAGATATCGTATTTGTATCTTAGTGCTTTTGGAAACCCGTATTGGTGGACTGCGTGCAAAGCAGGTGGCTAAAAGCCTAGGGTTCTCAATTTTTTTTATTTCTGACCCGATTGGTTTTTCAGGAGGCATATGGATTCTTTGGAATTCATCAGAAGTGAATATCCAAGTTCTGCATACTGATCATCAATTTATTCATTCAAAGATAAGCTGGCTTAATTATCATAAGCAGGAATTTTTCACCTTTGTTTATGCTAGTCCTCGGCGTCAAGAGCGTCATGCTCTATGGGATGCTTTGGAGAATATTCAGCCGCAAAATAATAATGAATGGTGCATTATGGGTGATTTTAATACTTACATTCACTCGGAGGAGAAGAGGGGGAGTTCAGTTCACAATTGGAGGAGCATGCAGGATTTTCAAGATTGTCTTATGTCTTGTCATCTTAGTGATCTGGGGCACCAAGGTCCGAGTTTTACTTGGAGAAGAGGTAATCTTTTGGAGAGACTTGATCGTGCTTGTGTAAATCAAAGCTGGAACATGTCATTTCCGAACAGAGTTATCTCTCACCTTCCTTTTCATAACTCTGATCATCGTCCAATCCTTCTTTAGGATGGACAACCAAATTTTAGTAATGGAGGGGCTCGTCCTTTTCGTTTTCTAGCGGCTTGGTTGACTCGTAATTCTTTCTCTGATCTAGTGAAGAGGTGCTGGGAAGGTGGTCACAATTGGAAAGCATCTAGTGAAAACTTTCGAGAGAAAGCCACATCCTGGCATAAGGATTGTTACAAGGAGGAGGAGAAGTTAAAAAATAATCTTCATTCTCGCCTCCGTGGAATTGATTATAGCTTAAGTCAACATCCTTGTCATTCTCTGGAGAGGCTGCAGAAAGAGATCTGGCAATAGTTAAATACTATTTATCTTAGAGAAGAGATTACATGGTACCAAAGATCTAGAACTGACTGGATTCGGTTTGGTGACCGTAATACTAAATTCTTCCATTCAGCAACAGTTGCCAGGCGTAGGAGGAATAGGATTGATGCCCTTCAAAATGATGTCGGGGATTGGATTGCTGACCCTTCTCTTCTCATGAGTATGGCAGTGGAATACTATGATAATTTATATAAGGAAGATATTCCTCTCCGGCCTAATTTTCCCATTAGGAACAAATTCCCAGAAATGGAAAGGAGAGTTATGATGGCTCTTGAGAGCTGCCCTAGTAGTCAAGAGATTAAAGGAGTAGTGTTCTCAATGGGGCCTTTAAAGCGCCTGGTGTTGATGGTCTTCATAGCATATTTTTTCAAAGCCAATGGGATGTAGTGGAGAGCTCTGTTTGTAATTTCATTAAGGGAGTCTTCAATGATCCTAGTCGTATAGAAGAAGTGAATCAGACTCTTCTTTGCTTGATTCCTAAACTTGAGAATCCTCATACTTTCAAGGATTTTCGTCCGATTAGCTTGTGTAATGTTATTTATAAAACGGTAACAAAAATTGTTACTAACCGTTTAAAATTGCAGATGGACAAGCTGGTGATGCCTAATCAGTGCAGTTTTATCAGAGGTAGACAAGGTACGGATAATGTCATAATTGCTCAAGAGCTAATCCATTCAATGAGGAAAAAGAGAGGATCTAAAGGTTGGATGGCGATCAAGGTTGATCTTGAGAAAGCATACGATAGGATCAGTTGGAATTTCCTTCAGGATACCCTATATGATGTAGGGCTTCCTGAAAATTTGATAAGACTAATTATGTTGTGTGTTTCTTCTTGCACTATCAATGTTCTTTGGAATGGGGCTTGTACTAAAGAATTTCGGCCAACTAGAGGCTTAAGACAAGGAGATCCTCTTTCTCCTTATCTTTTTGTCCTCTGCATGGAAAGACTAGCCATCTCATTTCTCAGGCAGTGGATCACAGGAGGTGGAAGCCAGTGAGGATTAAAAGGGGAGCTCCACAAATTTCCCACTTATTTTTTGCTGACGATCTCCTTTTGTTTGCAGAAGCTTCTCAGGAGCAAGTGTTAATAATTCAGCAGGCCTTACATATATTTTGTGATTCATCTGGTCAAAAAGTCAATCATAGTAAGACTAGAGTTTTCTTTTCTCAGAATGTGGGTCATACTCAAGCAAACCATCTTAGTGGGCTTCTTGGTTTTTCTTTGACTGCGGATCTTGGAAGATACTTGGGAATTCCTTTGCATCATAAGCGAGTGGGTCGGTCATCTTTCTCTTATGTTTTGGATCGAATGAATTCTAGAATTGCTGCTTGGAATCATGCCAGTCTATCTCTAGCAGGTCGTGTTACATTATCTAAAGCAGTGTTATTAGCAATCCCATCATATCCAATGCAGGTGTGTTCATTACCGCAAGTCACCTGTGAAGAGATTGATAGGAAGATTCGAAATTTTGTTTGGGGTTCATCTCCACACTCTAGACGTTCTCATCTTGTGGCCTGGAAGCAGATTTGCATGGATAAAAAAAATGGAGGCCTTGGACTGCGGAGTATGAGGGAAATGAACTCAGCATTTATCATGAAGGTTGGGTTCAACCTCGTAGCTCATCCAGATGCCTTGTGGTCAAAGTTCTTACGTGCTAAGTACAATGTGGAGGCAGGCATGACACCAATTATTCATGCTCCAAACAACAGCTCCCAGCTTTGGAAGGGAATTACGCGTCATTGGAATATTATAATGGATCATAGTCGGGTGCAGTTAGGCAATGGTCAGTCCACTATGTTCTGGCTTGATAGCTGGCTGCCCGATTGTGGTCCTTTGATCTCATATGCAGGTTCTCAGTTTTCTATTAGTGATACTCTTCAGAAGGTGGTGGACTACGTGGATGAATTGGGGCAATGGAAATGGAATTCTCTTTGACAATTGCTTCCAGATTCTATGCTGCATCGATTTATGAATTTTCTTCCTCCTTCTAGTCAAGATAGCCAGGATCATTTAATTAGGAATGGAACGACAGATGGCAAGTTTACTGTTAAGTCAGCATATGCAATATTAGCCATCAAAGATACTACAATCCAACAGTTTCCTTGGGAAAGTGTTTGGAGATGGCAGGGGCCAGAAAGAATTCGCTTTTTTCTTTGGTTAATGGCAGGGGAGAAGCTGATGACTAATGTTTGTAGACTCCGCCGCCATATGGCTCTTTCAGATCTGTGTCCTAGATGTAATCAGTCTAGTGAAACTATCCTTCATACTATTCGCGACTGTGCACAATCAAAGGAAGTATGGTGCATGATAATGCCTCATATAAATCAGCGTGAATTTTTCAACCTCAACCTGCACAATTGGATCATTTCTAATTTAGACAGCTCAAAGGATTGGGGGATGGGGTCGGACTGGCCTCTTTTATTTGGAATCTTAGCCTGGAAAATTTGGAAATGTAGGAATTCTTGGGTTTTTGAAGGTGATCGCCAGAATGCTTATTCACTTATCCGTTCAGCAATTGGTTTCAGAGATAGTGTCGCTCTTGCAGCTAACCCTGTTTTTGGAGCGGGCAATCAACCAAGGAATCGAATAGAGAGATTGGTTGCTTGGTGTTGTCCTCCTGTGGATTGGGTTAAGCTTAATGTTGATGGTGCATGTGATGCTAATAGTACTAGGACTGGGTGTGGAGGAGTTTTTCGCGATGCCTCAGGAACTTGGATCGTCGGATTCTGTAAAAATTTAGGCTCAGGTACAGTTTTGCATGCTGAGTTATGGGCTTGCTTGGTTGGTTTGGAGCTAGCTTGGGATAGAGGTTTTAGGCAAGTTTGGCTCGAAGGAGATTCTCTTTCAGCTCAACAGCTCATTACAAATGGGTGCCACCATGATTACCCTGTGGCTAATTTGGTGAATCGTATTCGAAATTTGATGCAGTGAGATTGGCAGATTTATATGTCTCACATTCACCGTGAAGGAAATAGAGTAGCGGACTTTCTAGCCTCTTACTCTTGTGGTTTCTCTTGGGTAATTCAGGAATTTGATTGTCCACCGTCAGGTTGTATTGATAGTCTGTATGGTGACACTATAGGTGTTCACTGGTCTAGGCTTTGTGCCTAGTTTCTTTTTGTTGTGTTTTTGTTTTAATTTCCTATTATTTCCAAAAAAAAAATAAAAATCAAGGTATTATTAATATTAATTAAGTAGGAGACATGTTGGAGGCAACCAGCCCCCAGTTAAAGAATAATAACAATCTGATACCATGGTGGAGTCTTACCTTTAACCACATTTGGACGCATATGAAGCCGAAGTCTGAGCAGCGAAAGATTAACCTAATTGGAATCCCATTCTCCACAAGCACATTAATTATGTTGGTATATATGCTAAACGCATTTTATTTGAATGGATTTGTGGTCCAATTCGGATAAAGACGCCACGTATCCAGCTTCTGGCTGTAACTTCTATGTCTAGTCTCGTGTTTTATCCTTTTGAATTTATCCATGACTTATTTTTTTTTAACAGCATCAATTCTGAGGTAAATCATCAAATATTTATTTTTTATAATTTATTAATTATAACGTGTTTTATCCTTTTGAATTTATCCATGACTTATTTTTTTTTAACAGCATCAATTCTAAGGTAAATCATCAAATATTTATTATTTATTATTTATTAATTATAAATATTTAATAATTAATAAATTATAAAAATCTCATTGTAAGGTATAAAATACATTATTCTCATTATAGATTTCATAATTATAGCAACTTTACTGTCAAAATGGAACACAACAAACACTTAGGCAAGCATATGAGAAAACATGGAAATGTAAGACAGATGAGTAAAGATTCATCTTGCAACAAATTAACTTATATAAGTAAAGTGATTAGACTTAGATATGTGGAGAGGAATCCAAGGGTGGAGGTATAAAGGAAAGTATTGTCAGGAAATTTCTGGGAAACTGCACATGCGTGTGATTCAGGTAAATTAGACTATCTGTATTCATATTTTCAACTTGCACCTTTGTATTTTTATATGAACTTAGATGAAATTGAGCTATAGGACCAAATAATTCCACATAAATAAGATATATATATATATATATATATATATAAATCAATTCCGTGTCACATTTATTGGGCATGAACTTGCTTAAAATCTTCCATGCTCTTGCAACTCTTGAGCAAAGACAACCATCCCTGCTCATTGAGCCTTGTATTCAATTCAGAGCTTTGGGGTGGAATATTTGGAAGTGACAAAAGATGGGTTTGGCTAAGGACAGATGTCCTAGTCATCCTTTCATCCACATCATGTTATACCAGCAAGCTAAGCTAAACAGAAAATACCATGCAATCCAATATTTAGTGCAGAAAGTGATGAAACATTTAAATATAAGTAAGAATCAACTAAAAATCCGAAGATAGAAACTGAGAAGAGACCTCTTTGGGTCAATCAAAAAGTTGTATCCAAAATCTGCCCTTGCTCGTTATGGTATTAGCCCAAAATTTCCAATCAGATATACTATTATCTATTGGAGTTACTGATATGGAAAAAAATTATATTTCTTCTATTGTGATATATGCAGACCTTAACCATTATGGGGGGAATACGTGTCTAGATTTAGTCTTGTCTGAAAGCAAAAAATATAACTTTTTCCCGTTTCTTGTAACATGCTCTTCACCACATTATTTGGATGCCATATATTTAAAGCCATAGATGTGTTGATTCTGATTTTGCTCCGATTGTGCACCATGCAGGGGTTCCATCAATTGATGTGTATTATGGAAGATGTACATACCTCAATAAGATGAACTAGAGGGTTCTCTATGACTTGTGGAAAAGTTATGCCATGTGGTTGGTTAGATTTTTTATTTAACCTCTTGTAATATGCATTTAAAAGGATTATTTTATAGGCCAATAACCTATTAATCCATGAGTGACTCATAAGATGGATGATATATATTTTGTTCTTTATTGTATCAGTTGCTGTCCTTCGCCTTGCCGATGATTCCATCATACCTTTTGATTATCTTCCTTACCTGAATCAGTTACAGGTATGAACATATCTTCACTAAGTACTTTAATTAACTTCTGGATAAGTACTGTCTTTTGGGATAGGAAGTTGATTATCAGACCAGCCAGGGAATTTTATTGAGAGGTTAATTGCAAAATTACACCAATTTTCATAAGTCAGAATACAATTTATAATATTCCATTTAGTTAATGGTATTTATTATTTCATTTTCATCTATTGCATCATTAAATGATTATAATTCATAAATTAGTGTCTTAATCGTCCATAATAATTTTATTGGGTACATCTGAAAGTTGTTTCTACAACTTGAACCTAGGTCCTCTATCTATCCTAATACATGCAATTCCCATGTATGTGTTATTCTCATTTTGCACCCATTTCATTTTTCTTTCTACATAAAATACATATTTACTTTGTGCCCTGTTTCATTCACTGCACAGACTCGCTCCCCAAATTCAACCTTCCGACCCGACCCACGTACTTTCCTCATCGTCTTACTCCACCCCTATTTTTTAATTTTTTGCTACCACAATTAAAAAAATAAAATAAAAACTGTTTTCTGTTAGCTATAAACTCGTGACTTGCATAAACTTTAAATGTTATGTTTTCTTTCTATAATATGATAATTAATTGGTGTTATTACAGGCTCCTTGCCCTATGCAATCTGAATTGAGACTCTTTTTTTGCATGTATCTCAAAATTAGTAAATGTAACAGCTGTGATATTTTTATTTACTTTTTTTTAAAAAAAGTTCAAAATCCCCTTGTGCTCTTTTTTTCAATCAATTACCACTTTTTTATCCAAATCCATTCTTAATAAGAACACTAATAATCCCTTTCATCAAAGTTAGAGAGATAATCTAGGTAAATTTTAATAATAACACTGATAATCCCTTTCATCAGTGTTATTAAAACCTAATGTGATGGAATTTTTTTGGGTGCTACGGGAAGTATATAAGTCGGTGCTCCTCTTTCCTAAATAAAAAAAATATTATCATATTTAAATTTAGGAATTATTATTTATCATGTTGTATGAAATAAGTTGTCTCATGCAACACTTAAAAAAATACTTGATCCATTCATTTTTGTGTGTTGTCTATGTAATATGAGAACAAATATCCCCTTAAGTCTAATTATTTTTTCTTATTCACCTACTTATAGCTTTTTTTTTTACTTTACCGCGGGACCTTAACAAGAAAAGTAAAGAATATCATTTAGTACTTCAGGTGCAATGTAAATCCCGAAGTGGATGAATTCCAACTAGCCTTTCAAACTAGTACTTTTTGTAATCTTACAACCAAAAAAGAGAGTACTTTTTGGACTCTATTAGTTCCCAATGTTTGGTACTTTCTATACTTCTTGAACAGTGTGCTTAGAAGAGGCAAACAGATGGTTCCTCAATAAACATTGGTCAAGAAGACTAAGCCACTGATCAAGGAGTCCAATGTGCTCTGTTTCTGCTTCTGCTGTTTCAAGTGTCATGCCGCGTAAGGGTATGCCAATAAAAGGAAGAGGGGCTGGAGCAGTCAATAAAAAAAGCAAGTGTCATTCTGACTCACTGTTTCCTGGCTTTGTTTATGGTATATCTTGAGAACTGTCTAATATGTATTTTTGGTGCTGTACATCCATTGGCAAGTGGGAACATTTGTCAGCATGGTGTATGATGAAGTGGAAGCAAGAAACAACATGTTTGATTGTGTTTTAATTATTTTGTTTTTAGAATTATTTTGTACAGCAATTTATAAAAATTGTTTCGTAAAATAAAAGAAGAAAAAACTTGTTTGATGATAATGTTTTGAAAAGAATTTTAAAAATTGAAAAACAATAAAATCTGTTTGAAGAGAGGGAATGATAAAACAGTTTTTTTACTGCTCAGGCAGTGAGAGACAAAATGCTATTCAAATTTATATTGTTTTTAATTCTTACATAATTACTATATTGCTATTAATGAAAAAATAGTTTTCCGTGGTTTTTCATATTTCAGAATCAAAATCCAAAAAACAGAACAAGAACATATGAGATGTTCTCTAATTTTAGTTTTAAAAATCAGAACACATACAGTTTTTAATACGTTTTCATAGAATAACCATTATGAAACAAATTTTTTAATTTTTTTGTTTTCAAAACTAAAAAACTGTTTTCCGATACCGAAATCAAACAGCGCCTATAGTTTTTACTATTCTTATGGAATGGAACCTTATAACCCAATTGAAATCCCATCTCATTAATTACAGCCAAATACATATTGAGCACTTTCTGCCCGCCAAAGCGAACATGGTCTTTCAGTTGACTCGATTTGGAACAGTGGCTAAAGTGTCACTATTCTCAGTCTTATTTCTTCAAATGTCACGTCAACAGTATTATTTTTTAATCTGTCATGGGAGCAAGTTCGCTGGCCAGTGTAGAGAATTTGGTGTACTGATATGTCACGTTTTTTGTGGACCCCAAGATCGCTGGTGTCAGTAGCAAACTCTAGAGCAACTAATGCTGACAAGTTCGCTGCCACAAGCAGCGAACTAAGTGTGAGATACACATAGGTCGCTGATGGACATGGCGAACTATGTGCCTTCCAGATAATTTTCTTCTTCCTTTTTGTTGCACGATTTTCGAGGAAAAACAATTTGCTTGTTCCTTTTTGTTCCTTCCACGTAATATCTTTTTTGTTGGCTGATGGGCATGATTCAAGGTACTAGTAAAAAATTGACTAGTACATTGAGTAATAATATCCCTCGAAAACAATTATATTTCTCATTGTTTTCCCTCGAAATCCGTCCACATAATATCCTTTTTATTAGCTAAAGCACTATTTTAAAGTTTTTGGACAAAAGAATTGCCCGGTTAAAGTTGATTGCATAAGTTTTTTCAAAGTAATGCAGTCAAACATGTCACCTATGCTGACGGGACTAATCCCGTCACTGATACTGACGGGACTCGTGCCACGTCAGCGCCACGTAAGCAGTCCAATTACCGTAAATTTTCGGAAGACCATAACTTGTGACTCGGGTATCCAAATCAGATGATTTTTTTTTATTTCACATAACTTTTCAAGATCTACGCAATGACACCTCATTTGATATATTTTATCTCCCACAAACATAGTCTTATGGATAAACACTCTTGTGATTGTGATACAATTGTTACAAATTCAAACTATGTTTGTGGGAGATAAAATATGTCAAACGAGGTATCATTGCGTAGATCTCGAAAAGTTATGTGAAATAAAAAAAAAATCATCTGATTTGGATACCCGAGTCACAAGTTATGGTCTTCCGAAGATTTACGGTAATTGGATTGCTGACGTGGCGCTGACGTGGCACGAGTCCCGTCAGTATCAGTGGCGGGACTAGTCCCGTCAGCATAGGCGACATGTTTGACTGCATTACTTTGAAAAAATTTATCCAATCAGCTTTAACCGGGCAATTTTTTTGTCCAAAAACTTCAAAATAGTGTTTTTCCCCCTTTTTGTTCGTTGATGGGCATGATTCGACATACTAGTAAAAAATTGACTAGTACATTGAGTAATAATTTCTCTCGAAATTTGTGCAACAAAATGGAAGAAGCAAATTATCTAGAAGACACATAGTTCGCCATGCCCATCAGCGAACTTGTCAGCATTAATTGCTCTAGAGTTCGCTACTGACACCAGCGACCTTGGTGTCCACTCAGAAACGTGATACATCAGCACACCGAGTTCGTTACATTTTCCAGCGAACTTGCTCCCGTGGTATATTGAAAAATAACACTGTTGATGTGGCATTTAGAAAAATAAGATGGAGAATAGTGGCACTTTAGCCACTGTTCCTCTCGATTTAAGGTACCCATACTAAAGAATTCGAAAATACATTTGAATACAAAAAGATTGTTTAAGAAATAAGAACCAAACTCTCTTTATTCTTCAGTTGGACATTTCCTTTTAATATAAACTTACTAGGTTTGTATCAGGTACAAGCCTGACATGGATTCACTGCGGACACAAGTACGGACAGTTGACTTTTATACAAAGCTAAAATGAGCTCAACATTTAACTTTCTGGTTCACACAAATTGGCATTTATTTCTTTTTCTACTTATTACTTTCATATATTCAATCTTCCTAAATTATGCCAAGGTCATCTGCTACAGTACAATCCTTAAACTTAATGGCAGCTATGCATTCTTGTTGCTGGAGCACTTTTACCATGAAATTGGAAATATCAATGTGCTGTGCCGATTCCCTGACACTCCAATTATCCTCCTATCTAATGATTGCCTCATTCACCTTTTTCTAAGGAACCATTGTCATAGGATCTTTGTTCAATCATCTGTTGAGGGCCCGCATTGTGGACTACTTTTATCCAAAAAGAATGAGAATTTGCTATTTGTCAAAGACGCATGTGTGATGTTTTTTGGCAATAACATGCAGTGTTTTAAAGCTCCGCTTCATTTTCTGGATTGACTCGGGTCAACCCTGACCCTTTTTCTCTGAGGGTTGAGGTCACAAGTTGGGTTCTATATGCATATCGATCCCTTCGATCCCTAAAATCTAGTTGGGTTTCAGTGACTCCCGGGTCAGAGGAGTCAAAGGGGATTACTGCATGTTTTTTTAAAAAAAACAATTTCATGAAACAATATTGTTTTATTAAAAAAATAAAATAAAAATGCTTGCAAATCTAAATCTAATCGTTCTCTTCTCTCCTTGCGACCTAGACGTTTTCAATCTTCACATCGCTGCCGTGAATCTTCTAGAAAAGGTAAGAATTTTACCCATTCAAATGAAATCCTTACGGTCGTCGATGGAAAACAAAAATTCATTCTTACTTCCTTTAAATTTTTCTTTGTCAGAGACCTTCTCAAAAGAGCCAGAACCAGGTCAGCGTATTAGAATATGAGTTTTGTACTTTGGTATCTTGATACTTTAATTAGGTTGTGAAATGTTGACTTGTGATTGTAATTGGTGAATTATGTTAATTATATTTTGAATCTTTGATGATTGGTAGTTTGTTTTTTAATATTTTCATATAAGATATATATATTTTATTTTTTTAATATATAAAATCGAGTCAGCGTAGTGACCCCGTGACCCCGTCGAACCCGTGACTCCGTGACCCCTAACCTCGGCCGGGTCGATAGCCGGGCCGGGTTTTTAAACATTGATAACATGTCCTGGTTTTGACTCGATTTAATGATGGGATTATATTTATAACTTGAAGTTTTAACAAAATATATCAATTTCAAAATTATGCATAATTAAGTCATAATATAAATTTAATGAGTAAATTAATGCACGCGTTATTTAGATAAAAATAGCTTTTTATCATGAGTTTTTATTTAATGAAAAATATTTTAGTGTATGTTTAATTAGTTCATTTTGTATTTCCAAAAAAAAAATTTGTTTATTTTTTTTTAATAAAATAATATAATTAAAATATGGAAAAGTGTTTCACCAATCATAATAGATAAATTTATTTCCTGAACTCCAAAACTACGATTTTGGGAATTTAAAATAAAAAATAAAGGGTATTTTAGAAATTTTATTTTTCTATTACAACATGTATTTTACTAAAATACCCTTTTTTTTTATTCTAAACCCCCAAACCAACGTCGTTTTGGGTTGCAGGAGATAACTTTATAATGCACCTACAGTTGGCCCATTGCACATGACCCAACCATTGATTCAAGAAGCTTGTAGTCAACTAGAGTTGTGGCCCAATAAGTATGACCCACTTGTTGAAAAAGGCAATGATTTGAAATATAACAAATTACAATCGAATTCAAGTCCCAATGAAGCAGCAGATGTGAATGTGATTTGTTTGGGAAGAAAAGGAAAGCTACATATTTAGCATGATTTGAGATTAAAGATTTGGGATGTATTTTGAATTATTTATTTGTAATTTTTTATTTATTTTTTAGATGTTAATTACTTTTATTTATTTTTTGAAGTTTTATTATTTTTAGAATTTTAGATTTTTAAATTTTAAATCAATTTGTAATTAGTCTATAAAAGGGTGCTTATGACCCTTATTCAAGGAGTTGAATATAGTTATTTGATAATTAGAAATTGAGAACCGGAGGATTACTTTCTTATGAAATCCCAACTTTCTGTTTAGCCACTTTTCTATGCGCTTTCGGCATCACTTTATCTCCTGTGACAGGAGAAATGTTAATCCCTTAAAATATTCGGTTAAAAATATTAAATGACTTACAATTTCATAAAGTATATTAAAATATACTTATTTTATCACCAAGCACGGGATTGTTCCAGGTTAATGAGTAGTATCGAGTATGAGTTATAAGTATGCAACTGTATTAAAAAGAACTAGAGCAATAGGCCTTTCAGATTCCTGGCTGCATAGATGGAGCATCCATCTTTTACTCATTTCATCGAGTAGGACCTAAACAAAGAGCTTCCTATAATGATTCAGAGCTTAGTCCAACCTTTGAAGAATTGGAATAAGGAGGTATTTGGGAATATTCCAAAAAGAAAAGAAACACTAATAAAACAGATTGACATAACCAAAAGAGACGGGAATCCTGTGGGTCGACCATCATAGTCTAGAAATATGTTAAGAATTTTCGTGATATAGGGAACCTTGTGGGTCCCAGATCTCCTCTTTCTTGTTTCAAATAATATAATTGCAAAACTACTCAGCCCCAACAAAACCTCTTTCTTCTTCCCTCCATTCACATTCGATGGCCTCCC